AACATCAGACAAAAAGATATTCCCCACCGCACACAGACACTCAGTATTCAACAACAAGAACAACAAAAGTGCCGAAGAAGCAAACGTGGTAATAACCTTGTGCAGGCAGAAAAGGCCCGTAAGTGAAATTGAAAAAAAAACCAGGCCGGGCGGGGCGGGGCGGGGTCAGGGGAAGTCGGGGATATAGGATTGGACCCAACATGGGTCAAAAGCTAAAGGTCACAAGAGTGAAGGAATCCATGGTGGTCACCACGGCAACACAAGAGTCGTAGGGGGCCAGAGGGCTTACCTGAAACTGCTGGCTGGGCATGAGGAAGACTCGGACGCTGATGGCATCGGCCTGCCAGCGAGACTCGGTCCAGGTAGAGTACTCCTGGGACAGCATGTCGTAGCCTGAAGGGGGGAGGGTCGGGGGAGGAATGATGTGGAAGAGAGATTTTTTAAAATATAAACATTTAAAAAATGTTGTTTGTTTTTTTATGTGGGTGGTCGGCGGGTGCTCTGGTGTGGTTTGCTTCTTCTTTCCTATCAAACATCTATCGTCCTTATCTCCCCTTTTTCTTTTTTATGTTTGTTACTCTCTTGTAACAGCTCTAATCTTCTGGCGCTCATATGACCTTATGCTGTTGCGAGTGCCGTAAAACCTCTACTAAAACTATCTAAAACATAAAAAAATTATACATATCAAGGCCTTGACAGAGGGAGAAAAAAAAACAAAGAAAAAGTAGACAGGGGAGGTAGGGGAGAGGGGGGAGGGGGAGAGGACAGAAAGAGGGAAAGAGAAAAGGGAGTCGGGGTGAGGAGGAACAGTAGATAGAAAATTTCACATGTCACAGGTGCCTCGGAGGAGAGAAAGAAAGACGTTTAATTACACAATGACAATCTATATTCATCGCACAGGGAAAAATTTGTCCTGGTCCTTTACAATGACAGTAGAATGTTACACAGGTTTGGTGCACTCACGCACACACACAACAAGACAGGTCATTAGTAAATACATGTTTTACGAGCTAAAACAACCCGCTCCGTAAAACATTCTCGCTCTCTCTCTTTCTCTCTCTCTCCCTCTCTGTTTTATTTGTAGCACTGTGTACTCAGCCACCTCACTGCAGTCGGTACGAATGAATTTCTATATCTGTCTGTTCTTGCTTTTTTGGAAACAAATCGTTTACTGCCGGTCGATAATTGAAAGTCCACAGTGAATGGGTGGCTATGGTCATTTAGCATTAGTTCCGCCTTTTTTAGAACGTTTGTCTTGTGCAGATATTCAAAGTTATTTAGGTTTCTACCAATTGTTCTTGATACCTTTCTGATCAACTTGTTTATTTTTATGACGTGCCTCCTTCCCAAATTGTTACTGTAGCAAGAAATACCAAAATTTAT